TCTCATATCAGTTGCGCCAGTCAGCCAGACTCCTGTTCCTGATATTACTCCTGACTCAGCCTCCTCTGCCGATGCTCCTGAAGGAGATGGGCAACAGAATGGCGAAACTCCTGATTCAACGGCTACAGTTAGCAGCAGTGGGGAATGGAGGAATACCTTGTCATCTCGATTACACACATCTGAGGAGTCGACCCCAAGAACTTTTGGTTCACGCATCTTACAGCGCCAAGGATTAACACCCACATCGGAATCGGGCACTTCTTATGGCTTCAGGTGATTTTCTAATTTTATACTTTAAACTCTCAAAAGCTGTTTCGTTTCTTTCATTTTTATCACTTATCGGTTTATCGGTGCAAGATAAAATAATTATCCAAGTCCAAACAAAATTAGTATTCTAAAATCTTAACTTAGTTTAAATGAAACCTTTATGAAGCAAAGTCTTAGGAAAATTTGAATTTGCGAAACTCCCAATTCTCACTCCAATCCAGTCGATTCGTAATTGAGTTGCCGCCTAAATAATCTGGACTTTTGGAGCAATCGTTTATTTTTTAGGCATTAGCAAGATTTCATTTTTAAAATACTCAATTTGAAGCAAGCCATTAATGTTCATCCTCATTGGGTATAACGCATTTGATAATTTGTTATACTCACTTTCCTCGATTCTAACTTGTATAATTACCCCAATTTTGATTAATATTTTGACATTGTTTGGGAGACCTTTATTTCATATGAAAGTGCATGAAGCAGAGATTCGTAGGTTGATCTCACCAGAAGACCGGCTGAATCCTGTTATACTGCAGCCGATTGGCTTTACTACGATGTTTAGGTTGGCACCTTCCACAATACATTGGGTGAGAACTGGTTGAGCTTTCGTCCATCATATATCTATCTTAATTATTATATATACTCAACCAAAAATTAAAATGAACAAGCATAGATACATATACGATGGTTTTTCTAACTCTTTCATACTGCTACTGTTGCTCGAGTCTATGTTATCGTCTATACTCAATACCGGTCTCAAATCGGTGATCAAAAGGCTAATGTCGGGCTTTGGTCATCAAAGCTTAATAACCAAAGAAGAAGCCCTTACCGATACTGCAAGTAGGGTTATGATAACGAGATGTAGACTGGTGAGTAACGATACTACCTGTCCTAATCCCTCAGTCTAGGGTCATTAACGTTTAAGCACCCAAGGAAAAGCATGACTGGGGCTGCGTAATCTCGGACGTCTGGTTTGGTTGGACTAGTATGAATGAAGTTATTATCATCACTGAGCAGATAAGTTGAGTCATCCTCTTTTGGATGGCGGCTCAACCCCATCTTTCAATCTACCAATCAAGCATGAGTAGTTTTTACTCAACTTTCTATCACCGTTCCTCATATTCAACGTGTTCCCTAATCTCTTGATTGCAATAGTCTCTTTTGTCTTCCTCTCAACAGTAGACGTACCATAATCAGCAAACCTATTAGTTTGATACCATTCTATTTTATGTCCTGTCTCTGCCATTTGTTGGGCCACTTTCTGCCGTTGGACCCAGTTCCCTTTACAAGCATTTCTCTATTCCCCTTAGCCTGCATTTCACACCAGCATAAGGCCAAAAACAAGAACAGACAATTTTGTAGCATCCGGATCTCGATAATGGGTCATGTATCAATCTAAGAATGGCATAACCTAATAAAGTATGAGGGTTTCCTTAAATATTTTTTATCCCACACTTTCTCACCTGTTCCCTCAAGTTCGCCAGGGTGGGAGCTAAGCAAGATCCCATCGCAAGTCCTTGTGTCTTTTCATAAAACTTGCCATCAAAGGTAAAATTTGTGCTATTTATGGGTAGGTTAATAAGTCTAATTATGGAAGCTTCACTCAGCCTTATTGCTTTTGTTACCTCTGAATGCTCCTCCAGAGTTTGCGTTAGAGCCTGAATAGCTTTTTGCATAGGAATGTTAGTGTACATAGACACAACGTTAAAACTTACTAGCTTATTCTCCTCTCAAATTATCTACTGATCAATTAATTTTACAAACTCATAAGAATTTTTAACTTAATATAGCCAAAATTCCGCAACATTTCGTAGTTGTATCCATACAAACGTGAGATTTTACGCATCACGCTTCCTTTGTTATTTGCTATTAATCTAAAAGGGATATCCTCTTTGGGAACCTTAGAGGAGGCCAAGGGAGCCCTTACATCTCTCTGGTCTAGGGAATTCATTTTCCACTTCTCCATTTCACTATTACTAACGCATACCTTAAGGGCACGCTTCAGTCTAGTCTTAAGTCTTTCTGTTGGATCTCAGTAAATACCTATACGTGTCACTTTCATTTAAATA